CCCCCCCCCCCCCCCCCCCGGGGCAGAAACCTGCAAGCTGTCGTGCCCATTTCACACTGCAATCCTTCAGCATCTCCCCCCGTCAGCTCAGGGCAGGGTGTTCTCTGAGCAGATAGCCTTGGAAATCTGATTTCTGCAGAGGGAAATATTCAGTGCACATCCTTGTACCTGACTTTATCATTTTAATACCACCAGCCACCCCAGCCTTCCCCAGGGCACGGCGTCCCACCGTGAGCCCGAATACAAATGGCACCACGGAGGAGTCCCTCCAGCAGCCCCTTGCTGGCAGCTCTGTGGGATAGGACACACATTCTCCCTTTTCCTGAGGCAGGGAGACAGCTCCCAGGGGCTTCATATACATGGAGATCTATCAAACACCCCCCCCACACACACTACACTGCTCTCGGTTTATGAGGGTGGGATTTATGATGATCACTTCATAAACAGGAAGCATCTTCAGGTTGCAGTATAAATAACTTGTAAAATAAGACCTCTGAATGCTTTTGGTGAGGGATATTAATGCCCTGTAAAATGACAGGACATTTTTCTTCTGATTGCACTTTCCACCTTTCTTCCCCTTTGAAAAAGAAACGCTGCGAGCTCTCCCCAGGAAAACTGGGAAGAGGAAGGAGAGAACAAGGGCATTAAATAGGACGTGGTTGTTTCCCCTTTGTAAAGCAACTGCTCGCTGTGTGTCGTGAACCTGAGGTTCTTTTCTGGCTTTCCCACTACAGACCACGTCTCCATTGGGGGGCTTGGGGACAGCTTTTATGAATATCTCATCAAATCTTGGCTGATGTCAGACAAGAAAGACTTGGAAGCTAAGAAGATGTACGACGATGCACTCGAGGTAAGGAGCAGGTTGCTGCTCTGTTTTGTTAATTTTTTTTGGGGGGGGGATGTTTTTCACAAGAAGGTTTCAGATCTCCAGAATGTCTTGGGCCTTTGGGTTTCCTTGGCATTCACTGCTGAGTCTTGAAATACTTAGTGAGTTTAGTTTTACTTACTGCCCACTAGAGTGTCCTGAAGCCCCGATTTTTGTCCCTTCAGGCAATAGAAAAGCATTTGGTCAAAAAGTCTGCTGGAGGACTGACCTACATCGCTGAATGGAGGGGAGGCATCTTGGACCACAAAATGGGCCACTTGGCTTGTTTCTCCGGGGGCATGATTGCGCTTGGAGCTGAAGGGGCTGGGGAGGAGAGGAGGCAGAGACACATGGACCTGGCTGCAGAAATAACAAACACCTGTCACGAGTCCTACGCGCGCTCAGGTAAATCCGTGTCAGGGAGGGATCACCCCCGGCCTCAGGAGGCTCAGGGCTGTGTGGCAGAGGTTTGCAGGGGGGTATTTCGTGCTTCAGCAGCATCTGCGTCCCCTGTGTGTGATTTTTCACGTGGCTTTTGTGGGGTATCTAGAGGAGGCAGCGATATGTTTTGCACAGCAGGCAGCTGGAGCAGAGGGGCAGGCAGATGTCACAGCTCCTGTGGCAGAGCTGGGAAAAGAACCCAGGGCTGAATCCTAGTCCTGCCTCCCAGTCACAGAACCAGCCTTCTCCCAACAGGACCGTAGTTTGAGTCTGTCCTTTCGCATCCCTCTGTAGACAAGAAGGGAAGATTAACAGAGATTAATTGCAAAGCATGCCACTGTATGGAGCAGAGCAGCTGAGAAGCCCAACAGGGGAGTGTTGGAGACCTGCAGCTGCTGGTAGAAACCAAAAAAATGAAGTTGCTCAGCCTTTCCCAGCTGTCTGAGCAGAGGCTGAGTGAGTCTTTTCATTTCACAAGTTCAGTAAAATTTGTATCATCACCGAGTGCTTATCAGCACTCTGGGAGAGCAGGAACTGGTGATGAATGAAGGACTGGGTCAGTTCTCTGCCTGCAGGAGCTGTTTTGGACACCACTCCTTTCTTTGTAGGCATCTCTGCAGCTCCTGGGAGGCTGCAGGCAACGAGGCAGCTTTCCAGGACCTTGTCAGGCACAAGTCTGTCTCCACTAACTGTTTGCAAAGATTGTTTCACGCCTTCCCCACATCCCCAAGCCCATATTGGCAGTTGGTGTCCAGCACGTCTGCCCAGTAAACTTCCAGCTGACTAGAAATTATGTTTGGAAATAACTCCTCCCCCAACACTTACAGAGCTAAAACAAGCCACATGAACTAACAGCCCCTCTGGTTGTGAGTGCCTGGAGCCAATTTTCACCTTCAGCAACATCCATCAGCTCAGAAAGGACAGCAGCAAAGCTGCCCACACTGTTTCAGTGCTGGCATTTCATCAGGCTCAGAATTGTCTGTGAATGTTATCCTGTTCCACCCCCTGTCACGGGCAGGGACACCTTCCACTAGCCCAGGTTGCTCTAAGCCCCGTCCAACCTGGCCTTGGACACTTCTCCAGGGATGAGGCAGCCGCAGCTTCTCTGGGCAACCTCATGAGCAACCTCTGCAGTGTCCCTGTTTTCAAACAGGTGTTGTAAATAGGGATCTGGGTGCTAGTTAATGCCTGCAAGAGATCTGAGCATCCCTCTTGTGTAAGGGACACTCAGAAAGATCAAGGTGCTCTTCATGTTTTCTTTATAAAGCCCCAGTGAAGTTGGTCGAGCTTCCCCATCATCCCCTCAGCTCCTTTCCCAAGAGGCTGCGACCGAACCACGAGAAAAGGCTCACCCAAGCCTTAGCTCAATGCTGGCAGCCCTGAGCAACCTAAAAGGCACCTGGATGGTCCCTTGACTTGTTTTCTCCTCCTGCATGTGTGTGATTTGGGGCAGACACCAAACTGGGCCCCGAAGCCTTTCGCTTCGACGCCGGGAGTGAAGCCATGGCCACCAGGCTGAGCGAGCGCTACTACATCCTGCGGCCCGAGGTGGTGGAGAGCTACATGTACCTGTGGAGGCTCACCCACGACCCCAAGTACAGGCAGTGGGGCTGGGAGGTGGTCAAGGTAAGCCTGAAGGTGTTTCGGTAATGACTTTCTTACAGGTTGCCAGGTTCCTGCAAAAAATCTCTCTCTTTTGGTAAATT